CCCCCCCCCAACCGACGTTGTAAAGTTCGTTTTGGACATGACAACTAGTGAGTACCTTAGTTTTATTGACTCAGATATCCTAAGTTTTCCAATATGATGTAGATTTCACTTACTCAGAGAACAAAGAAATACTTGTAACCTCTATATCATATGTTTAGAAAGGCAATAGATTGTCATTAATGTACTACCCTATATTAAAATTAATTCCATGTACATATTTAATATTTTAAAAGCTTTTATAAGCCATTGAATTAAAAGTGGCCTTTGAAATTTCTACTTTAAAATGAACTATATGCCACTTAATTTTGTTTTATATGCTACTACTCACTATTAAGGTAGGAACTGAAAGAATAATACAGTAGAGAACAATCTGGATTTTTTTCTCTTCATTTTCTTTAAAGTTTTGTTTTAGTGTATTGAAATCTATTTAAATTTAGAATTTTTTCTTCTACAAAGATGAGAATTTAAATATCTGTTTATTATTTTACACCCAAATAATAAAATCAGAACAATTTGTCCAGTAAAACAATCTTTAACTTACCTATTTTAAAATATTGTGTATGTTCATAGCTCTAGTGTAACACATTCTATAATTTTCATTTCTCATGTGTGTGCTCTATTTCCTCATCAGTTTGGTATTCAGTATGGTGCTCATACAAGCATGGCCTCTCAAGTTAACATATTGGGGTGATTCCTATAGATTATTTAAATACTAGTTTATACTAGCGATGTAACCTTTTCTCCTTATATGAATCATTCATTTGTTTTACTGTTAACTTTTCTTCAAGTGCTGATTAAGTGATGTAGATCAGTACTGAACACCCCCCCACCAGCATATTACTGAGATTAGTACCATCAGAAAGAAGTCTCAGTGTGTAATTTTACAATTGGGAAAGATGATTGACATAGTATCTTGAGTAATAAATCTGTTGATAACAAGAGTATGATAAACATCTCCACCTATAGATTATATTTACTATGTAAAATAGCATATATGGATGCATATTTTTTATTTTTTTAATTGTGAAAATACTGTACAGAGGGGTAACAATTACATGGGCAAGATAATGAGTACATTTCTTATCAAGCATTGTAGCCTCCTTTGTTTCCCCTTCCCATCCCTTCCCGTCCCCTCCCCCGTACCTCACTACCCAATCCTCCCCCCCCCACTAAAGTTGTAAAGTTCGTTTTTTCACATAATGACTTGTACATCTCATTGTTGCAATGGGTCCACCTGTATCCCTATTTAAACGATTTGTTTTTTTGAATGCATATTTATGATAGAGTATTTTATTTCCTAGGACATAAATATAGAATATATGTGGTTATATATGTATGTCTATATGTATCTTTTCTATTCATGCACTAGGGCTCTCCCTATCCTTGTCTGGCAAGTCCTGACCCCCAGACTTGCCTCGAACCCCCTGCGTGGCTAATGCTATCTTATCAATGTAATCCTGTTAAAACAAAAAAAAAAGGAGGAATCTGTGGGGAACACAGGCAGCAAAGATGGCGCTGAGAGAGAGTAGAGTGGGCAGAGCCCAATTCACCTTATGTTCAGTGCATAACCAGCCCATGAAGGCTTAGGTGCATGATAGGGTGTGAGCTTGACAGTGATTGGTTCCTCTTCCTCCCCTGCCATGCCACCCGCCCTTTTTGGCTTTAAAAAGAGCAGCTCTCTGTTACTAAAAGAGTTTTCTACCTGCTTGAAAAAAAAATTAAAATATGTATTTTTTTCTTCATGCCAGTCCTAGGGATTGAACTCAGGGCCTGGGTGCTGTCCCTGAGCTTTTCTGCTTAAGGCTAGCACTCTACCACTTGAGCCACAGCTCCACTTCCAGCTTTTTTACTATGTTATTAGAGATAGGAGTCTCACAGACTTTGGTGCCTAGGCTGGCTTTGAACCAAGATCCTCAGGTCTCAGGCTCCTGAGTAGCTAGGCTTATGGGCATAAACAACTGCTGTAATGTAAACTTTTTATTATATTTCACTATTATGGATAGGTTGATAGGTTTCACAAATGAAGTACTAGAATTTAGAAGATTGACAAGTAAGAATTGTATTTCTTTGTGGGTATTAATTACAAGAATCTTTCGTTTGTAAAGGGCATGAATTATTATCTGAATTACAACAGCGTCGATTTAATGGCTCTGATGGAGGGGTCTCATGGTCTCCTATGGATGACGAACTCCTTGCACAGCCACAGGTTATGAAATTATTAGATTCCCTCCGAGAGCAATATACTCGCTACCAGGAAGTTTGTCGGCAGCGTAGTAAGCGCACACAGTTAGAAGAGATTCAGCAGAAGGTCATGCAGGTAGGTGTCTGGCATGAATATATCTAACTCTTCAGAATTCAGAATGTTTTTTTCCTTGATTGTGTTATGTAACAGACTTTTTGCTTAAGTGTTTACTCTTTGTAAGACATTCCAAATTAGATTTCAAAATGTTTTTAGCTATTTGTTTGCTGATACATGTTATCTTCATAAAGGTTATATTTCTGTAGAGCATGCAGCTTGCTAAGGGAGTGAATTTCAAAACAAGTAGTAAGAAACATTAGTGGCTTTTTATTCTTGCAATAAGTACTATTGGGTTATTAAAATTTTATTCTAAATTTCCAAAATGAGAGTTTTTTGTTGTTAGTTTGGTCATTATAAATAATTTGCTATCCTAGAAAATGATACTTAATAATGCAAACATTCGAATTTTGAATTTATTCTTTTATGATATCAACAGGAAGTATTAAATATATTTAATTTTATGAATTTTTGTCCTTTTTAAAATTGAATTTTATTTTCTTGATGGAGGTTGGTATTGGGAATTAATCTTGGGTCTTGTGTGTATTAGAGAAGCATGCCATAAATTGAGTTAGTCTTCTTAAAACTAACTTTTTAAGGTAATAGGTTAAAATACTAATGGATGTAATACTAATGGGAAGCATTTCTGATTTTCAGATTATGTTGAGGGTTTCTGTGTGTGTGTGTGTGTGTGTGTGTGTCTGTCTGTCTGTCTGTCTGTCTCTCTGCCTCTCTGTCTCTCTGTCTTATCTGTCTGGGGCTATGTACACGCATGCATGCATGCATATGCCTGTTCTAGGGCTTGAATTCAGGGGCTGGTCACTGTCCCTAAGCTTTTGTACTCAAGGCTAGCTTTCTGCCTCTTAAGCTATAGCTCCACTTCCAGAATTTTGGTGGCTAATTGGAGATAAGAATACCATGGACTTTGCTGCCTGGGCTAGTTTTGACTATAATCCTCAGAGTCCCAGTCTCCTGATTACCTAGGATTATAGTTATGAGCTACCAGTGCATGGATTATGTTGAATTTTTATTGAATAATTACAAAAACAAACCTTTAAGTATAGCAATTAAAAATACAAATGTTCGCTGAGTGCCAGTAGTACCCTTTTACTCCTTAATTGAAACAGATAATAATACCTTTTAGGAAAAGCCAGTATTTAGAAAAAACCTCACACTCAATTAATAACAGTTATTACATTTATTTCTATTGAAATAGACATTACTCAAGATCTTGTTCTGATGTTTGTGAACATTTTATGTAAAATACCCAGGGTTTTTCTTTCTGGACTATAGTGTTTGAAGTAGCTAGGGCTACCCAGCCCTAAATTTCTAGTGCAAGAGCAGACATAGGCATTAAATGAATGTGCAAGGCTTATATCTCTAGTAAAACTTTATTTAAAAAAAAGATGATGGGCTGTTGTTTGCTAACCAATGAGCTAAAGCATCAGATGTCTTAGGAAGGAAAAAAGAAAGAAGGAAGGAATTGGATCATGAAAAATATTGAGTTCTAGGTAGAAGATTAAGACTTATTACATCATGATTTACTGCATAATGTAGAAAGATTTCTGAGCATGTGTTAATTACATGTGACTTTTTCTTTGAAGTCATCTTAAACCAAAGTAACCTTTAGGCAATTACTTTGAGGTTATCTGTGTTGTTTTTAAACCAAAAAGACAGAAAATGGCATATGATACAAAATTTAGTTTCTGAACCCAGATTATCTGGGTTTATCCTTTTCTGGGTCCGAGCTGAGGAGAAACTTTCGTGCCCTAGTTTCTTCCTTAGTAAGCAGAGAATAAATAGTAACAATAATATCAGCAACAGCAATAATAATAATGATAATAATGTCTATTGACTGAGACTGTTAGGAGGGTTAAAGAAGATAATTTTTACATGTTTAGTGCCTGTCACGTAACAAGCTCTCGCTGTTGGGATGTAATCACAGAGACTGTAGATGAAAGGATTCTTCTATGTGGGATAAAAGAATATGAAAAAAAGTGACAAAAATGATTTGTTTTGTTTTTCCTCAGAACTGCAGTTTGAACTCAAAGTTTCAGATGCTCTGCGCCTTGAGACATCCTTCCATTCCTTTTGCTCTCGTTATTTTAAAAATAGGTCTTATCTTTTGCCTGAGCCAACCTAGACTAAGATCCTCTTATTTTTGCTTCCCATTGTAGCCAGGATAATGGGCTCACTCAATAAAACCATACACTAAGCCGTTTCTATGAAATGGAGTCTCATGAACTTTAAGAGCTAGTCTGGTCTGAAACTGCAAATCTCTCAATTCTGTTCTTCCCTATAGCTGAAATGACAGGCACAAACCACTGGCCACACCTAGCTATTGGTTGAGATGGGGTCTGGAGAACTTTTTTCCCAGGTTTGCCTAGAACTTCATTCCTTTCAATCTGTTTCCCAAGTACATTTAGGATTACAGGTATGAGCCACCAGCTCCCAGTTGATAACTTTGTCTTTGAAATGGTGGGCCGGCTCAATGAAATGATAGAAGAGAGATGTTGATGGTAATATTTGTAATGAGTGTAATTGTGATAAAAAGATTATTAAATAAGACATAAGCTTTGTAGCTTAGTTTTCTTTCTCCTTCCTCCCTTCTCTCCCTCTCTCCTTCCCTCCCTTTTTCCTTCTTCCCTTCCTCCCTTCTTTCTTTTCTTCCTATTTTCCTATCTTCCTTTCTCTCTGTCTTTCTATTTTGAGCCAGGGTCTCAATGTGTAATCACACTGACCTGGAATTTGAGCTCTTCCTTACTCAGCCATGTACCATATACCCAGTTTAGTTTTCTTTATGAGGATTAAAGGATTAATTGTAACATTAATATTCACCATGTACTATTTTCCTGCACTCTGTTTTTCAGAGATCAGTTTAAGGAAAAAAATCTATCCCTTTCCCCAAATAATTTTAAATTTACTTAAGTTTAACTACAATAACATATTGGTAATATGTTGGTCACATAGCATAAACTATACTATCTTGAAAACTAGGGTAAAATATTTTTAAAACACAACACTTTGTTTTGTGTTTTCCCCATACTTTATAAGTCATTGAAAATAAGATATGTGTCAGGCCAAATGCTGCATATTGGGAAACATTAAACAACATAGAGCTACCGTCTCATAACCATATAGAACCCTGTGAATAGTTTAAAAGTAAGTTGGTGTCTGTTCATAAAGACAGGAGATAGAAAGGTGAAAATTTATTTCATACAGAGATAATTATAAAGTTGAATATCCCTATTTTTGTTACATCAGTGAAAATTGAGTTATTCCACATTTCTTTGCTCTCTGACTTATCACTGAAAACATAATGCCAGAGGGATTGCTATCTCTGATTGATAAACTACAGTATTTCCCCGCAGCTCAGATGGGCAGATTCAGACTTCTTAGGGTATGCAAATAGGTTCCCTTCTGCTGCTTCAGTGAAGATTATGACTAAATTTGACTAAATTTCACCTGCTCCTGGGTGGCAGAAAGCACCACTTCACTAACACGTGGGACTGTTACTCTCATTATTGACTGTGGCAGTAATCACTGCAAATGTTATTTCCATGTGCTTTTCTTGCACTGTAGAGAGCAATCTTAGATGCAAAATAAGACTCACTCCAAATCAGATAAATGTACAAGCAGGAGGCTGGGCTCTCAGTCCCTAAACCTTTCCTCAAGGTCAGAGGCTTGACATTTGCTTAACATTCCTTTCTACCTGTTTTGTGCCCTGTGTATTTCCCAGTATTCTTTTGTGCAGTCCTTAGAAAACATTTCAGGCTATGAAAACATAGTAGTCACAAAACATTTTTGTGCAAATATTTCTCATGGAAGATTTTAAGAGCACATCTTCTGGGTTGAACTTTGCATGTAAATGTAACCACTTGGGGTTCATACTATTATGAATTGGTTCTAGAACTAATTTTGGAGTAAGTTAATATGAACATTAACTGAATATGGTGTGATTGAAATTAAGTTTTATAACACAGTTTGGCAAACCACTATCATTAATGCATTTAAATAGACTTGTTTACGGGGACATCAGCTTCAATTCACTTCATTTTTATTACAAATAATCTATTACAAATAGTGTATTTTCTGTGTCCATGTTACTGATGCTGAATATTAAGCTAAATTTCCTTCTGTATGCATTAAAGCTATATAAGCATTTGACTATATAAGTGGGGTTTTTTTTTTTTTTTGGTCAGTTGTGGGGCTTGAACTCTGAGCCTGGGTGCTGTCCCTCAGCTCTTCAGCTCAAGGCTAGTGCTCTACCACTTGAGCTAGAGCACCATTTTGTGTTTTCTGAGTGATTAATTGTAGATAAGAGTCTCAGGGACTTTCTTGCCTGGGCTGGTTTTAAACCGTGATCCTCAGATCTCAACCTTCTGAGAAGCTAGGATTACAGACATGAACCACCGGTGCCCAGCTATATAACTGGGTTTTTATGTCAAGATGTCTTGCTTTATTTAACATTTATTTTTACGTTTTTAGCTCCTCCTTATTGTGCTGCTAACATAGTACCTGAGACTGAGTAGTTATAAAGAACAGAGATTATTTCTTACACATCTGAAGGCTGAGAAATCCAAGGTCAAGAGAACTATATGTCTGGGCCTTCTTGCTGTCATCTCTGAGTAGAAGGAGAAAGGATAGTAGAGCATGCATGAAAGAGACGGTCAGATAGAGAGAGAAGGAACGCAAGCTTGCTAGAATGAAAGTGGTGAGTGAGCAGGCAATAGGTATCAAATTTGCCTTGATTACAAATCCATTCCAGTAATAATGGCATTATCCATCCCTCAACACTTTTACATTGGGGTTTACATTTCCAGAACATGAGCCTTGAGGACCACATTTAAACCATAGCATATGCTATGATTTTTTTCCTCTGTTATTATACACACACACACACACACACACAATTTGTGATAGTATTAACTTGCTTCTTTTTGTTTCTTAAGTATTCCAAAATCAAAACTGAAATGCTTAGTAATGTTATCTTAGGCTTGTAATAACCACATAATTCATTTTTTAATTAAAGCTTTAATTTTTGTTATTTTTAGAATTTGGCATTTGTATTCAAATAACTTTAGAATACATAAAATTCATTTTTATCTCAGTGTTTTTTTCTTTTTTGTTTGTTTGAAACAAGGTCTTACTCTATCTCTTATTATACAACATAATTATAATAACTGAGAAAATATTGGTTCTCAAAAAAGGAGTGGAAACTTTTTAAAAATGTTAAATATGCTTCTGTAGAGCTTTTTTTTATTTCAATATTTTAAAGTGTTGGATACAATAGTTCAGGGACTTTTTTAAGAAATCCAAGGATCTATTGGAATATATCAATGTGAGGTGGAGCTAGGCTATTGCCAAAAAGAGAAAAAGATGCTAGCAGTTACTCGTAGCATCTAATATATGAATGTCTTACATTCAATTTTTGATGTAATTGTGACTTCAGCTCTTCATGATGGGCATCAACAGCATCGTTTGAATTGAAGAAACAAAGTCAATACAATAACTGGTCAATATAGACCCAGAATCCAGAATTCAGGCTGTCTTCCTCAAAAACAAACAAACAAAAAAAACTGTTCATCTGGCTCTTGTACTGTGATACTTTCCATAAGCTAACAGGCAGAAACATGGTCCTAGGACTTTTCCTACAAAAGATTAGAGTAGGGAAAGAGATGTGGAGGAACATTCCTTTGCATTCTAAAGAACACCTACTCCTTAAGTTTGCAGATGAACTTAGCACTCTGAAAACAGTTTTGCCAAAGGAAAGTTCAAGCACATAGAGCCATTCCAGTGGTCAACAATAATCTTGGCATTTTTTGTTTTGAGTTTTGTTTTCTAACATTCAGCCTGAAAAGAAGATGGTGGAAGTTAACATTAATATTTATGGTCATCTAGGATAAAAAAAATCAAAGAGATGCCATCTTCTTGAAGGAAAGCTGAACTTGATGATGCATACCTCTGATTCCAGCAATGACAGGAAGCCTGAATGAAGTATGAGGAGACCAGAGCAGGAAGCTAGCCATAGCTAGTGTTGTGTCTCAAGTGGCAGAGTACCAGCCTAGCAAATGTGAGGCCCTGAGTCTAACCCTAGTATTACACACACAAAAAAGGAAAAATAAAGCTCAAATACATGTTACCAGGAAATAATAAAAATGCACAGTGGAACTATATTGCTCTATTGCACAATTTTTAGGACAGCTGATCTACTGAGTCCATAATAGTAAGCTACAGAGACACCCAAATTAAAATAGTATTCAATTAAATTATTGGGAGAGATTCTAACTTTAGGCATAACCACACATTGATTCTTGAATTATTCCTTGATTTTTGAATTCTTTAAATTCCTTTTTCCATTGATTCTAGAATTCCTAAAGTTCCTTATTTTCTTCAGCAATAGGCAAGCTTGGTAACTATATTTTTTCCTTCTGTATTTTGACTTTGTGTGCAGAATTAGCAAAACCCTCTCTCTTGCATGAGAAAGAGATCTTTAACTGTCTAGTTCTCTTCTGTAAACTTGATGAAAAAGTAAAGTTTACGCTAGATCTGTACTGGGAGGATTATTAATATTTCTGGACCAAGATGCCTAGCCTTGGGTATGTTTGAGGTCACTAGCTGTCTTAATGGGCATAGCCCTATTGGGTATGAACTTTTGATGCTGAATGACTTCCAGATCTACTCAGCATGGACCTTCTCTCATATCTGCTTTTAGGACGCTGCTGAAAGGAATATTGAATTCTGGTAAACTAGTCCCTACCCTGATGTCTGATAGTTTTAGATGTTTAGCTACTATTACAAAGACACGTAGAAGATGTTATGGTAGCATAATTCTACAGCCAGTCATTAGTTTTCTTTTTAAAGCAAGAAAGTAGTGTTTAACTTTGTTAATATTCTCATTTAATTTTTTTCAGTGCTTTGGGAAAAACATTAGATGGTGAGTCAGGACATATGACTTATAGTCCTACCTTTTCAGTAATACCTTAGGCAAGTCACTTAATTTATCTAAACCTTAGTTTTCTTAAGTCGTAGATGAGAACTTTGATCAATGTCATTTCTGATGTCCTTTCTAACTCTAACTATGGCAGTTTTCTAATTCTCTTATCACAAGTTAATTTTTTAATCTTCTTTTATAGCAACATGCAGCTTTCTACAAGCCTGGCAGATAACCAGATAGCTAAAAGCCTAAGGTGGTACAGATTGGGGAAATGTTCTATTCTAGCTGTGTAACTCTAAAATAAGTATTTTACTGCCTATGCAATGCAGTAGAATTTTAAGAAACTGAAGTTAGAAATACATAATGAATTTTGGGGAAGGTAAACCAATTAGAATGAAACTTTGAAAAGCTCTTGTTCATTTTAAAACTTTTTTTAAAAAATGTAATTTTATTGTCAAGGTGATGTACAGAGGGGTTACAGTTGCATACGTAAGGTAATGAGTACACTTCTTGCCAAACATTGTTTCTTCTTTGATTTCTAGGTTGTGAACTGGCTTGAAGGGCCTGGATCAGAACAACTCAGAGCCCAGTGGGGCATTGGGGACTCCATCAGGGCTTCCCAGGCCTTGCAGCAGAAGCATGAAGAAATTGAGAGCCAGCACAGTGTGAGAGGCTTTTCCAAAACTCAGCTGGTTGTAGTATGATGATTGTTCATGTGCATTGTTAGAAGCCAGTGTGGTTCTAAGTGCTACATCACTGTGAACTTTGCTGTAAGGCATAACATACAAGAAGTTAAAAATGTAGAGGTCATAAATTGACCACATCAAACATATTTATTAGGGGGTTAGTTTTGTTTCTAACACCAATTATATTGCTATAAATCCCACAATTGATAAGAAATTTTGAAAGCTAGGGCTGTGGAAAAAATAATGGTTAAGAAAAACAGTAATGGCTGGGATGTCACTCAGTGGCAAAGTGCTTGCCTAGCAAAAGGAGCATCGTAGGTTCCATCCCCCAGTACCAAAAAAGAGAAGACAAAAAAAAGTAAAACCATTGTCAGTCCTTGTAGTAGAAACATCTATTTTTTTAAAGTTATTTTAAACATTTGTATTAGCATGCATTAATTATATAAAATAATGGGTTCTGGGTTCATTTTCATACATGCATATAATCAAATCCACTCCCTGTTACTTTGAATGTCTAGTTTATCTCACAGACCTCTAGAGGATGTTATGGAAATAGAGTTCTACAACTAGACCATTCTTTTTATTATATATATATATATATTAAAGATACTGTACAGAGAGGTTACAGTTACATGAATAAGGTAATTAGCACATTTCCTATCAAGCATTGTTACCCCCTCTTTTGTTTGTCCCCTTCCATCCTTTTCCTCCCCACCTCCTCATTTCCTTCCCCCTCCCAAGTTGTAGAGTTCATTTTCAACATACTGTCTTATAAATCTCATTGTTACAGTGGGTCAACCTGTATCCTTGTTTCAGCATTTTGTTTTTTCACTTCCCCTTCCCAAATTAGAAAAATGTATATACAAGATGCAGGGCACCAGGATCAAATACGGTGAAAACAGGTCTTGTCCTCTCCCCTTTTCCCTTCCTCTTCCCAATTGAAGCTTCTGTGCATTAGTCCTCAGAGAGAGGTTAGCCCTGCAATGTGAATGTGTATTACAATTAGATATTGAGAAAGACCCCAGAATCTACCTTAAACACAGCTGTCAAGGACTGACTGAGTGCAGAGTGTTTTCTGTTCTCTGTTCATTTAGGGATGCACATATGTACTTGTGAAGGAGCCTATCAGAAAAGTCTCAGATAAAAACTGGGAAATAAATTGATCCTGCAATAACTTGCAGAGAATTTAAAATGGAGCGCCTTGCTCTGGGAAGGAGATTGAGGTCTGTTAAGCTGCTGCTGTGTCACAGCAATCCTTGCATTGCTGAGGATCTTCCAGTGTGTGGATAAGGTCTCTATCCCAAGCCATATTGCTTCTTATGGTGACTATAAATAGACTGAATGCAAACTTGTAAAAATAAAACTAGAATCCATTCATTTCTCTTCTGTCTGAAAACACTGGTCAGTAGAAATGCTACACTCTGGACCCACATAAGAATTGAGAATCATCTATCTGCATATCCTTTGTCCACAATGTCCCTCAACTTCCACAGTTGAAGTGGTAATGAAATGTTGAATATCGTTAGAAAATGTATATTTTAACTAAAGAAGATTAAAGAGTAAATAACATATTATCCTTAGAATACATGTGAATGAGTAAACCTCACCTATTATAAGATATAGGTTAATGATACCTGACAATTTTCTTTTCAAGAGATACTATATTGTTTAATTTCCACAAAGTGTTATCTATGTACTTATCTATCTGTCTTACCTATTTATTTGTTTATTTTTTGAGTCCGGTCATGGGGCCTGAACTCTGGACCTGGGCACTGTCCCTCAGCACTTCAGCTCAAGGCTAGCGCTCTACCACTTGAGCCACAGCATCACTTCCAGCTTTTTTTTCTTGCTTATGTGGTGCTGAGGAATTGAACCCAGGGCCTCGAGCATGCAAGGCAAGCGCTCTACCACTGAGCCACCTTCCTAGCCCTGTCTTATCTATTTATTTATTCTGAAGTTTGTACTGGGATGTATTCTAGCTAGATAGGTACATTACTATTTTAGCTATACCCTCAGCTCTTTTGTGCTTTAAGTGATTTTTTTCAGAGAGAGTCTCTCATTTATTTCCCAAAGCTGATATCACACTAGGATCCTCCTACCTATACCCAGGAACATACTATCCTACCTGGCTTATTTATTGAGATAAAAGTCTTTCAAATAGCTAATTTTGTCTTGGCCAGCCTCCCACTGTTCTCCTGATCTGTCTCTTGACTAGCTAAGATTCTAGATATGAAATACCATGTCAGCTATTTCTTTATATATTCATCCAATCAGGTTTAATAATTAGTTGTATTAGTAGGTGACCTATGTAGTATACCTTAAAGGATTTTTAATCTGTCTGAAGGTTAATGTTTTAAAAAAGAGATACTACAAATTTTAACATTAAACTAAAGATAGATGTGTAGTCTTCACTGGTTTTGTAATTAGCACTTATACAAGATTTAAAAATGAAAAAAAATTAAAAATGAAATGTATAATTGAAATGCTATTTTATGTACTTTATGGGTCCCAGTATGGTTCAGTCCAATATATATGGTTCCACTATGGTCCAGTTATTGTAAAAAATAGTTATACTGAATAATACAAATCTTTAACTTACATACTGTTCCTGGAGTTAAAATCTCTTAATTTTGTTGCTACTTTTTTTTTAGAGTCCTGGCACTTGAACTCTGGGCCTGCAGTTGACCTTGAGCTGCTTTTGTTCATGGAAAGCTCTGTAACACTCGAGTCACAGCACCACTTTTTGGCTTCTTTTTAATTGTTTATTGGAGATAAAAGTCTCACAGAGGAGTTTCCTGCCCTTGCTGGCTTCTAACCACAATCCTCAGATCTCAGCCTCCTGATTGTGATCTCAGCCTCCTGGTGTGAGCCACCCATGCCTGGCTGGTTGTAACTTTTAAAATAAAATAATGCTGTTTTGGTTTTTTTTTTACATAGATTGTGGTTTATTTGAACTTTGTGGATTATTTTGGAGCATTTTACCACAGTGTAATTTAAGTGTATAATTTGCTCCTTTATTTGGTTTTTGAAAACAATATTTGCTGTAGAATATTTTTGACTTCATCAAAGAAATTAGGTATGCTAGTATTTCAAAAGTTGATTTAATGAGGGTACATGACACATGAAAATGCTAAAGAAAATATATGTGTTTAATTTCTAAAAGAAACCAAGAGAAGCTGAGATCTCAAAACCAGCTCAAGCAGAAAAGTCTGGAAGACTCCAATTAGCCAGCAAAATGCTGGGCTGGAGGCATGGATCTAGTGATTGGACCAGCCATGAAAAAGAAATTTAAGCAAGAGCACAAGACCCTGAGTTTAAAACTTGGTATTGGCATTAAAAAAAAAAAAAGAGCCAGGCATTAATGTCTCATGCCTGTAATCCTTGTAATTTGGAAGGCTAAGATCTGAGGATAGTGGTTCAAAGCCAGCCTGAGCAGGAAAATCCATGATTTACCACCAAAAACTCAGAAGTTGAGCTGTGGCTGAAGTGGTGGAGTGTTAACCTTGAGCTTATGGACAGTTCTCAGGCCCTGAAAAAAGGGAAACCCATTAAAAAAAAAAGCTATGTGAATATAAATTCATTGTATATTACATAAAGATAAAATCAAAAATTATATTCTTTGTTGTACTTTAAATACTTGAGAACATACATTCATATACATAGTATATACATGCTGTATACATAGTATATCACCCCACCCCCAAAGAAAAGAAGCATTGTTAGCTTATTATGGATTTTATTTCTTTAATGCATGTATGGTATTTGGGATTTATTACAAAGTTAGGAGGTGGGGACCAGTTGAATGGGAAAATGAATAGAACAGGACTGGCAATGAGTTTACAGTTACTGAAGCTGCATAGGACATGGGGTGTGGTTCGTCCCACTGGTAGGTTTGATATTTTCCATTCTAGAGTAATGTTTAAAAAGAGAATTGTGCTACTTTAACCAACAGGTGGCACTGCACTGTCACCTTGAGAATGGATTTGTACTAGATTAGTGTTTTTGCCTGTGATGTTTAAGGTGTCTAGTATTTCATTTAAAACTTGTTTTTCTTTTTGCAGATAAAATTAAACAGTTTAAAGCTTTCACTGGATTTTTTATATCATGTGAACTGATAATAAATTTCTAGTATTGTTTGCTGATTAAATAACGATAAAATTTGGAAAATTTTAGCATGCCATTTCACATCACTTTATAATGTCAAGTATTAAGTTTTAGATTCCACACAAAAGAATAATGCAGAAATAACACTAAAAATTCAGATTTGTTTAGTTATTTGGTATTAATATAGAAAAATGGAAATCCTACTGAGAGGTCATTCACAAGGATTATGAGTCATTTGGTTTGTAAATGCAACACAACAGAAAAATAGTAATGTATATGGAAGTGATTGGAGTATCTGATAATAAATTTAAAGTATTTTAGTTGACACTGAGCATAGTGTGCATGCCTAGAATCCCAGCACTCAAAAGGTTGAAGCAGGGCTGGGAAGGTGGCTCAGTGGTAGAGCGCTTGCCTTGCATGCCTGAGGCCCTGGGTTCGATTCCTCAGCACCACATAAGCAAAAAGAAAAAAGCCGGAAGTGGCACTGTGGCTCAAGTGGTAGAGTGCTAGCCTGAGCTGAAGAGCTGAGGGACAGTGCCCAGGCCCAGAGTTCAGGCCCCACGACCGGACCCAAAAAAAAAAAAAAAAGGATGAAGCAGGTGATTGTGAGTTCAAGGCAAGCATAAGCTATGTAGTGAAAAATACCTATATCAAATCATATGTCCTCAAAACAAAAAGTTATAAGGATAATTAAGTCTTAAGTCCAGTAACAAATCTAACTTTATATCCAGTAACAAATCTAATTTTGTTTTTTGGGTGAGGTAAGTGTGTGGGGAAACAAGCATGTATCAGTGATGGACAGCAGCATAATGAAGTCACTTCAGCATTCATCAACATCCTGTCAGCCCACATTGCTGACTTCCTCCAAAGAGGAAATACCTCATATAAAGCAACAGAGGCACATTTCATACTGATTCCTTTGCTTACCCAAATCAGTAATGCTTCTTTCCTCCTAGATCAAAATTCTTGTCTCATGGCATAAAGTGTGAACACTCAGCATTTCAACAGTTGTGTGTTGCTGCTACAATTGCAGTGTCAGTCATTCAGGCTTGTCAACACTGAATGTCATCTTTCAAGCTCATTTCCTACTTAACCATCTTAACCCAAAACTCAAATCTTAATGCTTACTTCTATTTTGCTCTTAATTAATTCTTTTACATACAGAAAATGTACATAAAAGGCACACCAGTGAATGGCAATAGTTAATTTGGAATTCAGGCTGTTCATTAAAGTCTTGTACCCTTATTTTCTAGAAAGAAACATTTTGATTAAATATACATGAATCTGGTTCTTTCCAACCCCATCCCTGGGAGCTATCTATTTCTTTATGACAACCTTTAGCATTAATATCAGAGTGCAGATATTCATTTCTTTGAGACAAACTCATGCTTACATTATGTTTACATTCCTGGTCAGGTTGCAAGAGACTATTCATATTTGAATATCTTTAAACCAGGAAAAAGTATCATCCACAGTGGTGGTTCTTAAACCTTAGTGAATGTAATGAGAAGACAAGCGAATGAAGAAATAATTCTGATGCAGTCAAAGCAGGATATATGCGTGGATGTGTGGAACTTCCACAGTGAAATCCATTAATATGTATAATCACTATTCATTAATTATTATTTCAAGTGAAAAATAATAAGATTTTTGGCTGCAAGTGAGGAGATAAAAACAGTTGGAAGTTTAAAGAGTGAAAGATCAAAACTAAGCAGGCAAATAGGAAAGTGTCTGGACTAGAGGAACTTAAAAGAATTCCCAAAGGATTGACATTCTTTAGTTACAATTTAAAAAAGAGAGCTATGTGTGTACAGGGACATGTTACTTAACAATGGTAAAACACTTGCAGAAATACATTTTCAGGCAAATTTGCTGACGTATAATCATCACAGAGTGCAGAGTGCATTTAGCATGCATGATGTTCATGCTGCCATGTCACTAGAATGTACGATCTGTGTATGTGGTCTTTCATTGACCATTGCTATGCAGCATGTGACTATACTAGGCACATTCAGCTACTCTGGTACAATCACAAGGTAAGCAGAGAAACCAGTTTTCAAGTTTTGACCAGCAGACCAAATAGAAGAAAGGAAGGAGGGCAGGGCATGGCATATGTTATATGCTAGGAGGTGAATATAACCTTTGACCAACGATGGAAGTGAGAACAGAGACTTCCAGGTGCTGGACAGTAGAACATAATGACGTCAGCAGATGGGTGGGATCTGTGGGACTATAGGTATGTGCTTGTTTAGAAGAGGGGAATTGGAGTCAGTATCTAGAGGTCAGAGAATAGGACTTGTGAAATTAAGGATTTTAGAAATTTATAGTGCTGTAAGATCAGTTTGATGGCCAGTGGAGTAGGTGGCTGAGATGGGCATGGAACAAGATAGTTGAATGGAGGGAGGGAGTCAAGGGAACTGAGTGTTGGTTGATATTAATGTGGTACAGACATCACTAAGAAGGCTAGCCTGGAAAGGAAGTCAGGGCCTTTGCCGTACCCCTTGGGATGAGGGGATACAACAGGGAAACTGGAGGGATAAAGTCTTCAGCATGCACTTCAAAGGTGATCTGGATGGGCTGGGATGTAGCTCAGTGGCAAAGCGCTTGCCTAGCAAGTGCAATGTCCTGGGTTCGATCCCCAGTACCAAAAAAGAAAAAGACAAAAAAATACAGTTAAAAAAAGGTGATCTGGTCTCTTGAGAACAGAGAGAGAAGAAATGGTCTTTGAGGCAATAGTGAGGAACAAGTTGGCCTCTAGGCTTGTGGTACTGTCAGTGCCAAAAACAGTAGTTAAAGAGAGCTACAGGATGGTGTTTTCTGTGAGGACAGGTTTCACTCAGATCAGAACCATTTCAAGGCCAGAATAACATACAGGAGATTGTGGTATTGGCAGTGAATTCCAGGGATCACAGTGGAAGGTCTTAGTTGTAGGAAACTTTTCATCATTAATTTCAATAATTTTGCTTTAGAAAAGCATTTGTGTAGATTCCTTGGCTTATCTGGCTTATCAACTACATCCTCCAGGAACCAATCTGATCTTTATAATATCTCTATTACAGGAATGGTTCGCAGTATATGTAGAGCTTAATCAGCAAATTGCAGCACTCTTGAATGCAGGAGATGAAGAAGATCTTGTGGAATTGAAGTCTTTGCAGCAACAACTTAGTGATGTTTGCTACCGGCAGGCTAGTCAGCTGGAATTTAGACAAAATCTCTTACAAGCAGCTCTTGAATTTCATGGTGTTGCCCAAGATGTAAGTGTTCTATATGCTTTTCTTTTTGTTCAGATGATCTGAGCAATCTACCATGGTTTTTGCAGAATTGCATGCCTCCTAATTATTTTTTCTCAAACAGTAATTTGCTGGTGAGTGTAATGAGAAAAAATTCTTTGATTTAAAAAATTATTTAAAATCATTTTGCATGCAGTTAAACCTTTCAGTGTCTAACTAGAATATTTTAAGCTAATAGATACATTTCATTCTGTTTCTGAATGTATATGCTTTGTAATAGAGATGGAAATGGAGGCATCAATAATTTTTTGCATTCTGTGACCTGGATCTACTTATTTGTCTTTGTAGTGCATGCATCTCTGTGTTCCATCTTCAAGATAACATATATTCTGATTATTTGTTCTTGTCTTTTAATAACATAGTCCTTCTTGTGTAATTGTGATGATCTCATTAGATAAACCTCATTAATCATTGAACACTTTAGATGCTGATTATATCAGGGTTATCTCTTTGGTGTCCCTCTGCTTTAGTTGTCTCAGCAGTTGGATGGCTTATTAGGGATGTTGTGCGTAGATGTAGCACCAGCTGATGGAGCATCGATTCAGCAAACTTTAAAACTACTTGAAGAGAAGCTGAAAAGTGTTGGTAAGCAGATTTTAAAAATGCTGAAGCATAAGAGTTCTTTTTAAAAATATCATTACCATGGTTAGACAATTAACTTATACTGAACTAATTATTTGCAAACAACACAGGAACAAATAGGATAAAAAGGTTTCCTTCCCTTGAGGGAGTATAATATATGCTAAAATTTTTATTTTGTATGGTGATTAGTCACTGCTCCCTTCATTGAGCCTTTGGCCTTTTTTGTTTACTCAGCCATGCCTGTAAGTGCTGTGTCTTGCATATACTAGGATACACAGTTATTTGTACTGCATGCATAAACTGTAATTAGTTGTGCAGTGTTCCGTGGTAACCCCTGTATGCCCCAAACTGTGTTTTATGCCATGCTTTTTTTTTTTTCTGTTGCTATATGCTAACCTTGTGCTGGAAAAAATAGTTGGTTTGATTCTGTGCATTTGTTTCTGGGAATGTTGCCAGAGTTACATAATCTCCAAGGGAAGTATATCCCAGTTCATTAAGTTAATTCTGTCAATTGGCCTCAATACTTTTTAGATGCTTCTACAATAGGAATTGTAGTGAACTTCCTTAGGTGGGAATGTAAAAATGGAAAGGAACTATCTGTTGATGCAGGACAGAAGACACTGTAATTTAAGGCAGAGAATTTGGGGAAAGTTGTGACATGTAATTGAACCAGATTATGGAAAACAACTCCAAGGAATTGAGTTAAAAAAACATTACAATGTTGGCATTTTACTCACTAATTAATCCTTTGTTAATCTAATATATGAAGAATACATAATTAGCATGTCAAATAAAACTTACTCTTAAATTTATTGTAGGATGTTCCAAGTTTCTTGAGCCACACTTTTCCTTAAAAAGATAATTTTTATATACTTACCTAATTTGGAATACTAAAAACATGTTCAGATGGTGCTTTCTGTAATTATGGTGAGCTGGACTGACCTTTAGTAACAGTGTACAGTCTTTATACTTTGATAATAAATTGTGTGTTTTGTAACATTGTAAAGTTCTGTTCATTTTTAAAAATAATAGTTGCATCATTGTCCGTAATGTTAAGAACATGTAAAAGCAGAAAAGGAAAACTAGAGAAGCATAAAAATTTTGTAGAACTAGAAATACTTTTGTTTCCTTCTTTCAGTTTTTAAAAGTAGTTCTTTTCAATAGAGTTTATGTTTTGAAAAGTTCTCTTAAGAGAAAATTTGGGAAGAGAGAGACAGAGAGAGCTCCATTTAACGCTCATTTACTTGAAATATTCAGAGGATTCCAAACCAACATAGCTTATTATATGATGCTATTAGACTTCATAGATTATTTAGAATCCAGATATACTGTCTGCTATGAGGACTTATTTGAGGAAGGGAAAGCACTTTAGTTGTTTAAAAGATTAACTCTACTTAAACTCTTCTTTTAGATGTGGGATTACAAGGTTTACGTGAAAAAGGTCAAGGTCTCCTGGACCAGATCTCCAACCAGGCATCCTGGGCCTATGGAAAGGATGTAACTATTGAAAATAAAGAAAATGTGGACCACATACAAGGAGTGATGGAAGATATGCAGCTTAGGAAACAAAGGCAAAGTTTGTCTATTAAATTTACCAAGATAACAGGATATTAAAATGAAAGATAAATTATCACATACAAACTAAAAGTTCTTACTTGTTATAGGCATATAGTAGGTTTAATGACAAATGTAATTATATCCAATTATAATACCTTATTTGACAATTTGTTCAGCTAACAAGTGCCTTTTCCTCCTTTTCTTGATAATAATATACTCAAGTATTTCAGATTTATAAATCTGACTCTGCTTTGCTTAAGAAAACTTTTTTGGAGAAATGTGCTTTTCTATTTTCATTTCGTTTGGTATTTCTGCTGAGTTTCATCTATATTGATATATTTTTCATCTTGTGTCTTGTAAAATGTCACATATCCATAGTTCTCATGTTGGCTATAGAAGGAGTAGCCATTGAGCTAATGAGCTATCATTTCATTTCATACAGAACTAGGAATTTAAGGATTTCTTTAGTAACTCAGTTTGCCAATTGCAACTTGAAAAGTATTACAAAGTAAAAGATTAAAATTACATAAGAAAAATTATATAAACCAGCAGAACCTACCATTACTTAAAAGATCAGTGGAATTTGTTTTTTGTCCTTAACCTTGTAGGTAGGGGCATTTATTTTAATTCAAAAATTAAATATTGTGCCAGATAATACAATTTGATGAAAATTGTTCATTTAAACATTTCCTTAGGACCTTATCCTCTTTCTTGGGGAGGGGTTAGTATACTGTTACGTTTATGCTTTGCTTCAATATTTTGCAGAGTCCATGCTATCCTCAGGAGGTTTTTCATTCAGTAACCATCAGGTATTTTGAGGTTTTAATGTAACATAGATATAGTTTAAATGTCCTTTAAATTTTTACAAGTCAATACAAAATAGTTGCAGACTCCATAGTGTAGGACTAAGTACTTAGTATATTATAAAACATGTGTGTCAGATGATGATAAGTAAAGAATCATCAAAACCCAGATGATCAACTAAATTTATGAAATTTATGTTTGGGTCTGTTAGATGTGAAGACATGGTAGATGTGCGAAGGTTAAAGATGCTTCAAATGGTGCAGTTGTTTAAGTGTGAAGAAGACGCTGCCCAGGTAACTTCTTCATATGATTATGTTTCCATAGGTGGCTATAAAGTGTACTCCTCACAATTCTAAGAAAGTTTATTATATCGGATTTTAGTTTATGCTGTGAAAAATAAAGTTGAGAATTTTTAGTTCGTTTACTCATCTCATTTGACCTATTCTCTCAGTGAAATCTATTGGATAGATTAGGAATGTTTATTGCTTTTGTTTTTGTTTTTGTTGACTAGGAAGTTAGTAACATCCCAGAATAAAGGCTGGTAAAGTACATTGCTTTCTACTCACAAGAGAATTTTGAGTGCCATATAGACTATTTGCTGTATTGTGTATTTAATATCAAAACTTGATGTAGAGGGAATTTTTGCTTTCAAGAGTAACACAAACCAAAGCTAGGCACTGAGAGCCCATGACTGTAACCCTAGCTATTCAAAAGGCGCTGAGGTCTGAAGATTGTGGGTCTAAGCATCCTGGACAGAAAAAGTCCATGAGACTCTTATCTCTAGTTAACCACCAAAAAACTGGAATTGGAGGTCTGACATAAGGTAAAGGGCCAATCTTGCTCAAGAAAAACAAACAAGAGCATGAAGCCTGAGTTCAAGCCCTGCTACCAGTATAAAAATAGAGTAACATAAATCAATAATGATATCCCAATACATCTGTATTACAGAAATGCATGTGATTTTAATTAATATGTGATATTAATTTTAAAAGAACATGGGTCTTGACTGTAGATCATAAAAAAATTAAGTAGGGGAGAATTCATATAAGTACCACGATGATTGAAATAACTATTAAGAACCTTACTGGGTATGGTGGCATGCACCTGTAATCCCAGCTACTCAGGAGGTTGAGATAAGAGGATTGAGGTTTAAGGGCAAAAGTAGGAGATGCTCTCTGAAATACAAAAGCAAAAGGAACTGGGATGTGGTTTAACTGCTAGAATCCCTGTCCAGCAAAGGTAAAGCTCTAAGTTCAATCTCCAGTACTACCCACCAATCCCTAAAAAGAACTTAGGTTATATTTGATGGATTAGTTAATCACATGACAGTAATCTTTGTATAACTATTTTACTATAGGGCTGGGAAGGTGGCTCAGTGGTAGAGTGCTTGCTTTGCATGCATGAGGCCCTGGGTTCGATTCTTCAGCACCACATAAGCAGAAAAAGCTGGAAATGGCGCTATGGCTCAAGTGGTAGAGCACTAGCCTTTAGCTGAAGAGCTGAGGGACAGTGCGCAGGTCCAGAGTTCAGGCCCCACAACTAAAAAAACAAAAAACTATAATAGGAGTTATAATTTCTGCTCTCTGTGTGTATTTCATTCAGGCAGTAGAATGGCTAAGTGAACTTCTGGATGCTCTGCTTAAGACCCACATCAGATTGGGAGATGATGCTCAAGAAACAAAAGTTTTACTGGAAAAGCATAGAAAATTTGTTGATGTTGCACAGGTACAGAACTGGTTATCTTCCTTCTCTACAAGCTCAGTGCTTAAATAACTTTCTGCATGATTATAATGTGCATTAACCCATGAACCCAGAGAAGCTTATATTTTATATTCCTAAAATATCAGAGAAATAAGAAAATGTCAGCTGGCACATCAAAACTAGCCTACATAAACTTGAGAAGGTTGGCTCTCTCAAATACGGGTTTGCTCTCTCTGATACACATTACATTGTTTGGGCAATTTAACTGTTCATTCACAGAAGTTAATATGAAAAATGTGTTCATGTCAGTAAATTAGAAGCCCACTTAGTGCATCTTTCTACTGTTATCATTGTAGTTAAAGAATTGTTTTGTGGCTAACCATAGCGTAAAGTATTTTTCCAAAAAATTGTACTTATATTATAACAGTTATACTTTCCTGTATGGAATATAGAGTGCCTAATTTCACTTACTTGGTTTGGTAATAAGTAAGCTCACATCCTTTTTGGCTAGTGGAATTTGGCAGCGTCTTATAGGGAGAACAGAAGGAGAGGGAGATACTAGAAAAGATAGATATTTATGAACAAGCCTGAACATATAGCTTCCACTTCTTATTTATGCATGTAGATCATTTATAGTAATAAGTGTCACTGGATTCATTCAGCACTGATTCTGTATTGCCATGTAATTACAACCACAGTCCTCTCACACTTTTCCTCTCCTCTAAAGAATTCTGTTGCTATAATTCCCTGTTTACCTTTTATTTTTTAGAGTACTTATGACTATGGTAGACAGTTGCTACAGGCCACAGTTGTGTTGTGCCAGTCATTGCGCTGCACTTCCCGATCCTCTGGGGATACACTTCCTCGTCTGAACAGAGTATGGAAACAGTTTACAATAGCATCTGAAGAGAGAGTGCATAGGTTGGAAATGGCTATAGCTTTTCACTCAAATGCTGAAAAGGTTTGCTTTTTTATTATAGTCTTAATGATTACTTATTGCAAATTTTTTAAATATGCTAATGTAGGAATGTATGGTTAATTTATTTGTTAGAAGTTTACATTAGTTCTGTTAAGTGTGGTTTAGACATATGTATTGTCAAAGTGTGAAATTAAAATTTCCACTCCTCACTGCTGGATTATTGTGGTTAGGTCCCACAGTACTCCATCTGATGCTTTTTACTTCTTCTTCATCTTCCCTATGTCCTGGGTCTCTGTGAGTGTTGCCATGTCAGTCTGTTTCATTATGCTAGGAAGCTTTATTTTTCAATGAATTCAAGTCATTAGTCTTAACAACAATAAAAATACGTAGTATTATTTAGGCAAATTTTTAATACAACCTTTTCTTTCTCCTCAAAATAAAAACTTCTAGCACCCAAGTCTTTTACAAACATTCTGAAAAGATGCTTTTTAATATAGATAATTTTGTGTTGTTCTCTTGTGATGCTACAAGGGGTGCTAAATATGCTTTATGATATAGAAACCCAAGTGACAGACTTGTCTGTCAACTAGAACAGCTGTTACAAAGAACCTCAGTAATTAAGCAGATTTCTGTGTTATAAAGCTAGATACTTAGTTTCCCACCTGAGCATTCAACTTTATCACTCAGCATTTTAGTTTAAATGGGCCCAGTGAAGCAGGTATGGTGGTGCACTGTAATTTCAGCAATGAGGAGGCTAAAGCAAGAGGATCTTTAGTTTGATACCAGCCTGGTATCAAATGTCTTAAAAAAAAGTCTGGGGGAAAAGAAGAGAGGATGCTAATAATGAAATAACATACAATAGGACAAGATGTTTTGACTTGTTTAGTATTTCAGTGGAAAATTATGATTATTATGAAGTATACTATAAATAGAAAAGTGTACAGACCTGAAGGGTTCTGCTTGTTGAAAGCTTACAAAGTTTACCTACCCTATAATCAGTACACTGTTAGGAAACATTACCATACCCCTAGAGGCTACCATACCTTTTTTGTTCACAATACATTTCTTCCACCATCAGAGGTGACCATTGGACTGATTTCTTTTTTTTTTTTTTTTGGGTCCGG